GCCTGCTGAAGTACTTGCATTCTGTAATACTGCAGATATATATTGTTTGAATTACAATTTCTTTAAAATTGAGCTTCTGTAAAGGTTTGAACCAGTGAGAGAAATTGAACACGTTTTAATGTGTCCTTTCCTGAGGCACCTTCTAAATGATAACGAATAGTGATAGGATGAAGCCTCTATTAGGCTACACTTCATAGGATATGAAGCTGTAGTCCAGGGATACTGCAAAAGAGTAATGAAAAATCATTAAGAACTTTAAAAGAGTATATGAGTTTTCTTTTATGTATCAAGAAGCCATTATGCACTATTGCTGTGTTCAAGTGTCTTTTCATGGTTTCATTATTAACCTTCATTTTCAAGAACTTTATAACTCAGACAGTTTAAATCATATTACAATTGCACCTTATCTGTCCAAATGCATACATGTTAATTTCCTTTAAAAAAAAAAAATTGAATATACTTAGTCTAAATATATTGACATTATTGGCCAAGGGTCAGACAGTAGTAGCAGCCTGACAAGATGTTGCTCATCAAAGATCATGTGCTGAACTGATGATGTTAATTCAGCTAAGGTCAAATTTGAACAAAGCTTAGTTAAAAATAATGCATTGGACTCTCCTGTCAGCCAGTTCAGTCTGTGGAATAACCAGGAGTTCAAAAAACAGCCTAGACAGAAAAGATAATGAGAACAAAAACTCTGAGAAAAATGAAATGTCAAGGCCTGAAAATGCAAAGAAGGTAGCTGTGAGCTCTGCAGGTGTCCCAGAGACTGAAGTCAATTATGGCTTCACTTAAAAGTGGGCTGAGTAATTCAGGTCGCTGATTAAGTTGAAACAGGACTAACCATGACCTTGAGCACTGCATATATGGGTCTATTTTCCAGAACTAACATACTTTTCACAGTCTTGTAACCATTTTATTTTTGCCTAAACACAACATGAAGTTGGGAACTTGTTTCATTGCATCCCTTTTCTCATTTCATGAGTTAATTGCTAACCAATATTCCCTTGAAAATGTAGATAAAAGGTATACAAAAATGTATACATTTAAAAAAATCTATATATATATTAATTTTAAAAAAACCTAGAAAAACAATCACTATTAAAAATATACTTGACTGTACATTCTTCTTCCCTCTTCATTCATCCAGTATCATCATTCATACATAGACATAAAAGTTGACTGTAGAATTAAGTGGTCTTTCAGATGCTGATTAGTACCTTTGACCTCAAGATATTGTTAAAACTTATTGCATGAATCACTAAATGATAAGCTGCTGCATTGGGAATCCTTTGAACAGTGTTTACCAGAAACCTAGCAAGGAAAGGTTAGTGCATATACTTATTTATAGTTGTGCTGGGTTACCAAAAATTAATTTCAGAGCAGTTGTCAAAATTTGCAGATAAATTCTCCTTCTGCGTGCAGTTTGGTGGGCTACTCAGTAATCGGCTCTCTTAAACATTCAATAAACAAGTTCCTATGAAGTAAAGCAAGTTCCTATGAATACAATATCTGAAAGTGCATTCTGGGTCTGAGCTCGGTTTCCTGCTTTTGCAGATGAGTACATTTTATAATTATTTTCACAAACCACTAAAGTTCCATTTAAAAGTAATACAGTTTCTTTCCCATTACTTGTGTAAAGTTTTTCTGGAAACTCACTTTGATGGCTTGCAACCTTATTTCTATTCAACCACAACCTGTTTATACCAGTTTCTCTGCCAATATTATTCTTTTCACAGAAAGATATTTTAAGGAGAAAAGCATATTTCTGCTTTTTTTTTTTTTATGCTACAAATGCATAGTTAGATCCTTCCAGCCCCTGTTAAAAAAAAAAAAAAAAAAA